CTTGCAGAATGTACGCATGATAGTCGCGTTAAATAGTCTTTTGGTTAGGAACTGTGATGTCTGTGTGTACATGTGCTGTGAAAGGACCCTGGCGCTTGGATTGGTGCACGTGTCTTGAATGACAACTTATTCTTGGGCAAGCATCTGAAATCCACATAACTCTGTAGTTCATCTACATCTTTGATAACTTTGATAGGCCACTCGTGAGCGTCTACAAAGAGACAAACAAGTCATGAGCTATATTAGGTCAGTTTCACATTAAGGTGCAGGCTGATTGATGTGTTTTCCCATGGAATGCTCACTCATTCAGGATTGTCCTCATGTTTTATAAGGTTTTTTCGAGATGAATATATTGCCTTTTATCTTTTCAAACAAGACACCATAAAATATGTGTTTTGTGTTATTTAAAGGAAGAAGGCTTCTCAATTAGGATTATTAATTTGTTTTATGAGAAAATATAGGCAGTGTACAAAAAATCGACTCGGCCAAAGTACTTAGACCTTGGCCAAGCCAAGTTACTCAAGCGAGTTCGAGTAACTCGCCCAAGTCCAACCCATTTAAGAAATAAAATAAAATAAGATAAAAATAAAATAAATAGCTACTTTATATCTATGGCATCATCATCATCATAGCTTTTTCCAAATTAATTGGGGTTGGCTACACAAATCTTGATCTGCCATTCTACTCTATTAAAAGTCATACCCTTAATGAAGTCATAAGTTCCCATATCTTTATATCTATATAACATGCCTCTTATATACAAAAGTTTTCAAGTGACACGCTGGTTACTGGTTTTGGTCCTTTTTGAAAGGTTTTGGGATCAGACCCCCACGTGTAACCTTTTTGAGGTAATATTAAATAAATAAATAAAATATATATAAAAGCTATAAAAGGTGAAAGAAGGGGATTCGAACCATAAACGTAAGGGAAACAGGATGTGTGCACAAACCACTAATTAATTTTGTAGTTATTTGAATAAAATCAAACATCACACCCTGCCGAGTCCGAGTGGACTCCGCCGAGTCCTGGTCAACTGAATACACAAAAATCTATGCATGTCATTTTTGGGTATTGGGACACATGAGGGCCACAATAGGCACACATGGCCAATTAAGATCCATGTGGATCACATGGGTCCACCGGCAATGAGCCCCATGTAACCACAAAGTGTTTGTGGGAGCCCACTTGCCACAAGCTGTTCACCATGGGCACGAAGAAATTACAAGTCACAGATGATTAGAAGTTGTTACATGTGTCGAGATTCTCTTGGGACTTTCTCTAGATTCTTCAAGATTTAGATGGCTTGATTTTAAATTGAATTTATGAAAAAGATATGGAAACAGTATTCTTTTAAGTCAATGGGAATTAGGAAATCTAGTAGGGATCTTTTATTGGATGGGAATAGGATTCCTGCGGGAAGATTGAAAGGGTGTGGATAAAGCAACCGGGGGCAAGGTCTGACCTACACCCTTGAAACATAATAGTTGATGCTTGGTGGTCGTTAAGTTTTAAAGGCCCCTCTCACCCCACAGATCGCCTATCGAAAGCATAACTTCTAATTCAACTTAAAATCTAAATCAAGAAAAGTTTATAAAAGTTGGACTAACACTCCCACAATACACTCTATTTTTGTGAAAATGCATTAATAGGGCTGAGATGTTAAAAGAAGAGGGTTTCCTAGGGAAAAGGGAGAAGGGAGTTCTACATGGCCAGTGCATGGTGGAAAACGATGAGAGAAATGTCTTCCAAAGACTGCACATCAGATTTCCATTGTCTCGAGGTTTGGGACGTCAGAGAGAAGACATGCATCTCCATGTCAAACACATGATGAAGAGAAGATCATCATCGATTACAATAGAGAAGCAACATATGCTGGAGACTAAAAGATGTTGACCTTCAGCATGGAAAGAAAATGAAAGAAAGGATTCTTCATTGGGCCGAAATTTCATGGCAAATGTAACCTCCAGGGCAGGCACATTGGGGGCAGCATGGGAACATCGTCAAAATAATCATGTAATTGAGAAAAGCAGGTCTCAGTTGCAGCAAAAACAAGCAGGTGGAGGCAAAACAGCCACGAAAATCTACGTAGGGCATAGGAGAGAGCAATGGTCATCATGAGCATGTGCATGACACACCCATTGGATATCCTCAAGGCATCCACAATTTAGGTATGTTGATCTCCATCACATCCCTAATCTGAGAATACAGAACACGTATTCTCGAATGTCCTTCCACACGAAGAAAGTGGGAAAAAGTCTCTCAAGCGTTGCTGCAAAATCAAGGTAGAGAAAGGTTTTCTCTACGGGCTGTTTGAGACTTTGAGGTGCTCAAAAGGAGAATTAGTTTATCTTTGGGCTATAGTGTGCATGTGATGGAGGAAGGCATCCTTTACGGGCCAAGTTGAAGGAAAGGTTATCTTCAAAGGCTGCTGCATGCGAGAATAAGATCAAAGAGTCCCTAGAAGTGCACAACATAGAAAAACCCTAGAGATGAGAAATCCTAAAAGGGAAAAGAAACCCTATGGATCAAGTCATGCATAGTTATTGATGATGTAAAGATGTATGAGCCTATGAAAGTGTATTGCAGCACATGTAAAGTGGGCTTGTCCGTACTACGTGCAATCAAATATGTAAGGAACAAATTCTGAAATTGGATTCCTGACAAAAACCACTATAGCTGCTCACAGGCTGCTGGTCTACTCTTTTTATTTCCCCACCTCAAATTGAGAGATTTCAGTCCAAAATCTACCGAAACACAAAATATATTAATAAAAACATAAAACGCCCCATAAAAGACATACCTTGGACAACTTCGCATAAGGATGCCCGCTTCACTCTACTCAAGAACATCATGCTCATCCCGCAACAATCAAGTATAAAACTCTTAGTCCAACTTTAGTTTTTGACTTGTTTTGCATATCAAAGACCCCCCAGCCTTCTTTGGTCACCATGCACCAACTCTCACATTCCTAGAGCACACGCTATCCAAGAAAATGCATCATACCCCAACAGTTTCATATCATCCCATAGGAGAGAATGAAGTATATATAGCCTAAACCATCCATCCAAGACCTTCATCTTCCACTTGAAACCTACCTTACAATACCTTAAGTGCACAGTTTCACATGACAAGGCCGTAAAAAATATTTCCTAACATGCCAACCGCCATCTACTACTTTTTCCCCCCACAGCAATACAACCTCTAAAAAGAAGAAATACCTTCCAAACCAACCAAATCCGAGCAGGTAACCTCGATTTTCATATACAGACATAACCATTGTGAAAATTCCAGTCTCGCACTCCTCATGTTCCTCTCCTTTCTAAGCCCTTATAGCCAAATGGACAAATGATAGACAAAGCCCCTTCAACATCAGGCTTGAAAACTGACATGATGAAAAAATTTGCACGCTGAATATTTCCCAACCCATTACCAGATCATTTTGTCTGTCTCATTGGTTAGTGCATGTCCATTTACCCATATCAAGGAAGGCGGCAGAGTTCTCACCGCAACCAACCATGAAATTGTGATTGATATCACAACAATTTAGGTCCAACAGAAAAAGAGAAAGCCTAGTACTAAGACAGCCACTAAGAAATACCAAAAATTGAATTAATGCTTGCAAGGAACAGGTTTAGACTTGAGGCCTGATAGAATTAACATACAAAGACCAAAACTTAAAGCAATTTGGCCTAGCCTTACTTCTACTAGAAACCGTGACCAAAGATCTGTGCCATAGGGAATAGAATATGTTATTCTGGAAAGTGTTACTCTTTTTCTAGTAAGAAACCCAATGTGACAACAAATTTCTGAATCTCAACCTCTTGACCAAAATAGTAGCACTTAGGTTCATCTTTGATCTCTTTTCTCTTTTCTCTTTTCTACTAGGATAACTACTCTGTGGCTCTGATAAAACTTACTATATAACTGCATTAAACTTCCCCTGCTGATTCCATTGTCTTCCTGCATGATTTAACTAATGGCTGGTGCCCTTTAAATTAAAAAGATGAAGACAAATAAAGGACATGGAATGCCATCTCCCTCCATGATCATTTTGTTTTTTGGCCTTCCGAGGCATTTTATGAATATGACAAGAGAGATTCTAAACTCTGTCCCATCCTTCATCAACACCTCCTGATTGCGACCTAGTGACTTCATAAAACTGAGGCCAAGGTAAAGGCACTCAAACTAAAAAAATTAAATTTTGGGTTAGCCACTGCTCATAGAATTTGCAGCAATATTAAGAATGAAGTGGTTCAAAGTTCAAACTGGTGATACCTCACCTGCCAAAGCATAATATATTAATTGGTTTGGCACTTGACCTTGGGATAGCATATGTATTTTCGTTTAATTGATTGGTTAAGATGTCTGTTGATTTGTTCAAAGAATAAAAGATAATGAATCAACCACTTTTGTTTTATTGATTGGTTTAAGATGTTTGTTGATTTGTTCAAAGAATAAAGCTAATGAATCAACCACAAAAACAATAATAATAAACACCATCTATAAAAACCTCAGTATCCATGGAGCCTAACAAAAGAAAATGCAGATTTTCTAAAAAGTAAATAAATACATAAAATGCAGATAATAACATTGTTTTTGGTCATTAAAGTTACAGGACAAAAAAATGGGGGATCATGACTTCTCTCCCTAGGATGACCCAAAGCAAGTATACTGTCTGTAACTAGTCCCTGGGCTTTCAGCCTAGTGGGAAACACCCGGGTGCGTCACACAAACTGTTGAGGGTTCGAACTTAGAGTTTTTCTGCAAAATACATCAATCTGTCCTACCCTTAGTTTTGTTATTTACTGTATAAGGCATAAGCTTCGGATGACGAGGACTGTCTGTTAGTCAAGAAGAAAATACTACAAAAGAAGAAAAACAATCCAGATAATCAATAGCTCAGATACAACTTCGGCTGCATCATCATCATCTAAGTACGTATGACAGGCGACAAATATCAAGAGACAAGAAGGATAAGAAGAAGAGAGAAGGCAAAGGACCGTTAAGGGTGTGGAGGTCGAGGGTATCGACATCATAGCCGGCGTCATGGTATTCCTGAAAGACATGGGCAGGGGAGTCGACATGGGTGCCGGTGTGGGTGGGGAGCTTCATGACGGAGTTGTTGGCGAGGGAGCCGTTCCTCATGCTGAGGGCCAGCCACAGGAAGCTACCCAGGCCATCGGCGGAGTCCCAGGAAGGCATGTCCTCCTTGATGGCGTGGCTTATGTCCATTATCCTCCTGCCGCCAGCACTGCCTCCTTCTACAGTCGTTCCGCACAAACCAGAATCAAAATCGAAGCCAGAAGGATAAGCAGCCGATCCTGACGCGATCGCAAAAGCTACTGCACTCAGGGAGAAGGAGAAGGAGAAGGAGAGGATCAAACCCATACGCTTGCCATCCATCTTCTTCTTGTATGCAGTCACCAGGGTAGAGCACGGAACAGAGGACAAAAGAAAAAGAAAGGTCGGTCGGTATTTTGAACGGGAGAATAGGCGAGTTGAGTGGAGACGGTTGGGTTGTAATCTGGACTAAGAACAAGTAAACGATGACACGTACTGTCACCGGGTTTCACTGTGAACCTAAATTTTATTTGGAAAATCATCTGTTAATACATTGTGGTATCCATTCATGGTATCCATTTATACAGCTGACACCCCCTATTAACATCTTAAAAGGTAACTCTAATTTATTGAAAAAATTGGTAGGGCATGTTTTTTCTACTGAATTATCAAAAAAAAAAGATTGCAAGAAGTAAAATTCACATAAAAAATCCTCTAGAATCCTCTAGAGGAGAGTATTACAATATTAGATCTCTTGAATGGATCGTCTTGACCTCAAGAAGTACGGATGTTAATAGAAAAATGATTTCAAGTCTTAAAAATAGTGTATCTTGCAACAAGTTATCTAGACGGTTTATTTTCAAGGTTTTCAAGTATTTATGGATCTCCTCCATCTGTGCTATTTTTGAATTCATAAATATATATCAAAATAGAGTTTTAAGCCATCGTAAGATTTCTAATACTGAAACTATATCTCCAAGTAAATATTAGAGGTGAACCTTACTTCTATAGTATCAGGAGGGTCCCTTGTACAAACCTCACCCTTTAACAAATCATCATAAAAAAATTTAAATTTTAGGTTGCCATTCCTTTTTACCAATCTATTTTTTCCCAAATGCTCATTAGTTCGGTACACAGTTCCCAATTGTGTTGAATTTGGTCTTTGTGAAAAATAATGTTCGGTACTGGGAGTATCAGACATGTTCATATCTTTAATAGAGTTTAGTACTAATAGTACCAAACAAGTTTATTCTTTTAAATGTTTGTACAATACCATCAATACTGAACTTATTTTTATTTTCTTAGTCATAAAATAGTTCATAACTCGGAGTTTTGAACTTCTTTTCTGAGCCCACCCAAACAAAACCCCCTTCGGGTGCGAGCAAGAAAAAACAATTGCCTAAAATAGTAAAATATGGATACATCTTTCTCAAAAACAAGACAGTCTTACAACATCCATATTTCATCGACTATATGGTGGATTGAGCTCAAATTTTGATATGTTGTTCTCCTCAACGAGAACAAACTTTTGACATATGCCATGCATGAAGCGGATAACCTTGGAGAGAGAAGTCTTAGAGAGAAGGTCACACGCAAAGGCATTATGCAAAAAATCTGTGTCCCATGATGTTTTCTCACTTCTGATAGACCCAAAAATCTGTGCCCTAGGTTCTGATAGACCCAAAAACGGAGGCATTAGGACTCAAAGAGCTTCAATTTGAGGAAAAATACATCATGAAGGAGGTTCAGAAATATCGGGTTTCTGTAGTCATTAAAGAGGCTATGATATATTGTATTCAAATATTTAATATAGTGTAACATAAACTCAGTGGGAGTATAGTCCCTTGTGGACCAAGATAAGCAGATTCTATTTGCTGATACTCAAACATGGCTTGACATGCTAGGGTAGTTGAGTTGAAAAACCCTATTGCCTAGGCATGAAACAAAACTGATGAGGGTTTCAAGCCCATCTTGTTAACCAAGGCAACTAAAAGGATATGTATTATGGAAACGTTTGATGTATAAGAAGTTTTGGATATTAAAAAAATATGTATTATGGAAACTTTTGCTATATACGAAGTTTGAATATTCAAAAAGATACTTAAGAATAAAAAGATTTATACAAGAGATAAAACATTATCTAATATTTTTCATATCTTTAATAATTGATGGGATAATGTTTAGGAAGCTAAAAGATAAGGTTCTAACATTCTTTTGATTCATGATGACTGATTTAATGAATGCATAGCTCAGATCTCTCACCCCACAGGTCTCCTATGATCAATGGTTTTGATCCAGTGGTTTAAAAAATGGATCGGTGCCCCTGATCAAGCACCCCAAAAACCCATCCGGATTGATGAATCGGCGATCTGGATCGAGAATCAGTCGGATTAAACCTTAAAAAAAATCCAAAAAAATTATTAAAATTCATTACAACTGTTGGTTTTTAGGAATCCAATAAGAAATGAGGGTACTACATTATTAACTTTCATTTTTTTCATCAATATGCGAATATTAAGATGTTCTTTTTCTGCATGAACTTATGTTAACCATTAATGTACATCACACAAAAGAAAATTCATAGAATTATCATGGATGAAATATATAATCATACAATGATTACAATAAAGAATGGATTAAATCGATGAAAAAATGGCCGCCAAAATCTCGAACGGAATAATCCACTAAAAAAAAAACCCAAATTATTACAACCTAACTAACGTTAATCCAAAATTATTACAATCTAACTAACATTAATCCAAAATTATTAGAACCTAACTGTTTATAATCTTATATACTACAATTGAAATTGTTGGTTTACATTTTATAATGATTTTACTATACAAATAATAACATATCCAAAATATCTTATAATATCATATAATTTAAAATATATTATTGACAATTGTAAGAAAAATAGTAAATTACATAATTTATAATGTAAATAAATTAATAAATAAAATATAATATTTGGTTATCAATGTAGAAATAATTAGAATGTGTACCAATTTTCGAAATAACACTTTAATCTTTCAAAAATCTATTTTTTTAAGTTTCAAAAATCTATTTTTTTAGGTTTAAAAAATCAAAATTTTTAAGATTTCTAGAATAATCGCAGCTCAAATGCGTTCTTGAAAAGCATGATACTTGTTATATTACTTTTTATTTATTTTTTGACAATAAATACTTGTTGTATTGCCTTTGTTTTTTTTTTTTATAAGAAAAATAAGAAGACGGTGCTGCCCAGGTAACTTTCATTTTTTTGTCAAGGTAACTTTTAATTTTTGTCATAACTTTTATTTTTTTGCCAAGGTAACTTTTTTTCATCACGGTAACATTTATTTTTTTGTCAATATAACTTTTATTTTTATTTTTTGATAAAAAATTATTTATTTGTCAAGATAAATTTTATTTTTTTATTAAGGTAACTTTTTTTTTTTGTTAAGGTAACTTTTTTTTGTCAATCTAACTTCTATTTTTTGTCAACGTAACTTTTATTTTTTTTGTCAAGGTAACTTTTATATTTATTTTTTGACAAAAAATTATTTTTTTGTCAAGGTAATGTTTATTTTTTGCATTAACTTTTATTTTTTTGTCCAGATAATTTTTATTTATTTTTCATAATTTTTATTTTTTTGTCATAAATTTTATTTTTTTGTCAAGGTAAATTTTTTTTTTTTGTCGAAACTTTTATTTTTTGTCAAGGTAACTTTTTTTTTTTGTCAATGTAACTTTTATTTTTTATTTTTGACAGAAAATAAATAAGATGGTGGTTACCATGATGTTCAAATTAGGAACCTCTTGAGGGGGAAAGAGAAGTGATAACCGACTACACTACACAACAATAGTTGTCTTATTTTGTATACTAAAAAGATATATTATATTACATTTTCAAACCTATGTACCTTACTAAAATCCCACATCGAAAAACCTAAAGAAGGTTGACGTCCATAAAATACTCCTTGGTCCCGAGATCTATCACGCACGTGAAATGGTTGTTGGTCCGTCACACGTGGCGACACTTGTATACGCCCGACTCGCCTGTGTTGTGACGTCATAAACTGTTTCGTGACGTCAAAATCGCCCGACTCATCTGGTTCCTTTCTAAACATGAGCGGTTTTTTGTTTATAGCTAAAATTGATACGGGTTGACTGATTCCATGTCGAATTGCTCGAATTGCTCAAGTCCGTGGTGACTCGGCGATTTTAATCCACTATTTGGATCTAATCTCCATAATGATGATTATCCCTAAAGAAATCCCAACGCCTAGAAACTCTATAAATAGGGGGTCTTCCATCTCTAAATTTATACATCTCTCATCTCTCTCTTCTCGCTCTCCTAGGGTGGCATGTAAGATTCTTCACTTTTCTATCTCATCTCTCTTAAATTAGAAAGAATAGAGGGCATGCCCCAAGATATACTAAGAAGGGGGCACATGCCCCACTCACACATAAGTTGCCTAACGCATTGAGGCATTGACTCGATCCTTGTTGTTCTATGCTCTCATATTATTAAAGGGTTATAGCCTTAGTTTTCCCATATTTGGTAGATCTAAGATAGAACATTGATCTCATGCGACATTGGAGGAAGAGACCCAATGTGGGGTATACTAAGTCTGGTTGAGATAATCTTATGGCAGCTTACTTTGTGGTTTGCAGTAACTTATTTCTTCTTTCTTATTCCCATAAGCATTATGTTGCTTTTATTTATTGAATAAAAAAATTGTAATTAGTAGCAGCAGATGAGAACTACTTTTAGGTTTTTATTTGTTTATTTCAAGTAAGTATTATTGTACTTAGACCTTTGTAAGTGTTCTAATAGGTGAGAAAAAAGAAAAATAAAAAACTCTACACACCATGTTAGATCACCTTGTCCTACTTTCAGGGAAGGCACACAATCAAGGTTCATAAGAAGGCATAATTTTTGGGTCGTCGAAAAAGTGGATTTTCGGCTTCCCAAAATCATAAAATGGTAAATTGGATGCCACATCGTGTGATTTTTTATGTGAAATGATCACAACGATTTTCCCTTCGATTTACTAACAAAAAGAAGGTAATAAGAGTGGCATTTGGGACAAGATCGAGCAACAAGAAAACTTAAGTTCGCATGTTGACTGACAAAGTGAAAGTTTCCAAGAACTTGATAAAAAATCCATAACATCATGCAAAACCTTATATTAAAATGATCATCTCGGTGCGATCTATATTTTCATGACAATATATTGCTGAAATGTAGTCGAAAACCCGAAAAGAAGGCCCGAAGCCATGTGGATGGGAAGAGGCCCCTTTTTAGGGACCGAAATATCATTTGCATGTTTTCTTAAGGTTATTTTTGGTCATTTTTCTATAAATTAGGGATTACTTTTTTATTTACTTTATTCTATTTTTTCATTAATCCCTATGTATTTTAAGTGTATACCCATGTTTCATGGGGTAACTCTGTATAAATCCCATGCATTATAATGTTTAAAAAGCTTTTGAAATTATTGAAATTATCCCTAACCTAGCAGAGAGAGTGTAGTTTTTTT